AAGGTTTTCTAGATATAAAATCATGTCATCTGCAAAGAGTGACAGTTTCACTTCTTTTTTTCCCTTTTATTTCTTTTTCTTGCCTGATTGCTCTGGCTAGGACTTCCAATACTATGTTAAATAAGAGTGGTGACAGTGGGCATCCCTGCCTGGTTCCTGTTCTTAGAGGGATAGCTTTCATTTTTTCTCCATTGAGAATGATATTTGCTGTGGGTTTGTCATATATGGCCTTTATTATGTTGAGGTATTTTCCTTCTATACCCAATTTATTTAGAGTTTTTATCATAAATGGATGCTGTATCTTGTCAAATGCTTTCTCTGCATCTATTGAGATGATCATGTGATTTTTATTCTTCATTTTGTTAATGTGGTGTATCACGTTGATAGATTTGTGGATGTTGAACCATCCCTGCATCCCTGGAATGAAACCCACTTGATCACGATGTATGATCTTTTTAATGTATTGTTGTATTCGATTTCCTAGTATTTTGTTGAGGATTTTTGCATCGATGTTCATCAGTGATATTGGCCTGTAATTTTCTTTTTTTGTGTTGTGCTTGTTTGGTTTTGGTATCAGGATAATGTTTGCTTCATAGGAGGAGTTAGGAAGCCTCCCCTCCTCTTCAATTTTTTGGAAGAGTTTGAGAAGGATAGGTATTAAGTCTTCTTTGAATGTTTGGTAGAATTCACCAGGGAAGCCATCTGGTCCTGGACTTTTATTTTTTGGGAGGTTTTTAATTGCTGTTTTGATCTCCTTACCAGTGATCGGTCTATTCAAGTTTTCTACATCTTCTTGGTCCAGTTTTAGAAGGTTGTATGTTTCTAAGAATTTATCCATTTCTTCTAGATTATCCAATTTGTTGGCGTATAGCTTTTCATAGTATTCTCTTATTATCTTTTGTATTTCTGAGGTGTCCATTGTAATCTCTCCTCTTTCGTTTCTGATTTTATTTATTTGAGCCTTCTCTCTTTTTTTCTTGGTGAGTCTAGCTAAGGGTTTGTCAATTTTGTTTATCTTTTCAAAGAACCAGCTCTTGGTTTCATTAATTTTTTCTATTTTCTTTTTAGTCTCTATTTCGTTTATTTCTGCTCTGATTTTTATTATTTCCTTCCTTCTGCTGATTTTGGGCTTTGTTGTTCTTTTTCCAGTACCTTTAGGTGCACTTTTAGATTGTCTATTTGGGATTTTTCTTCTTTGTTGAGGTAGGCCTGAATCTCTATAAACTTCCCTCGTAGAACCGCTTTTGCTGTATCCCACAGATTTTGGCATGTCGTGTTTTCATTTTCATTTGTCTTCAGGAATTTTTTAATTTCTTCTTTGATTTCTTCATTGACTCAATCATTGTTCAGTAGCATTTTGTTCAATCTCCACATTTTTGTGGCTTTTCTGGTTTTCTTTCTGTAGTTGATTTCCAGTTTCATACCTTTGTGGTCAGAAAAGATGCATGGTATTATTTCGATCTTCTTAAATTTATTGAGACTTGTTTTGTGGCCTAATAAGTGATCAATCCTGGAGAATGTTCCATGGGCATTTGAAAAGAATGTGTGTTCTGTGGTTTTTGGATGGAATGTTCTGTATACATCTACTAAGTCCATCTGGTCTAATGTGTCCTTTAAGGTGAGTGTTTCCTTATTGATCTTCTGTTTGGATGATCTATCCATTGGTGTAAGTGGAGTGTTAAAGTCCCCTACTATTATTGTGTTACTGTCTGTTTCTCCTCTTACGTCTGTTAATAATTGCTTTATATATTTAGGTGCTCCCATGTTGGGTGCATAGGTATTTAAAAGTGTTATATTTTCTTGTTGGATTGTTCCCTTTATCATTATGTAGTGCCCATCTTTGTCTCTTATTACAGTTTTTGATTTAAAGTCTATTTTGTCTGATATAAGTATTGCTACCCCCACTTTATTTTCTTTGCCATTTGCGTGGAATATCTTTTTCCATCCTTTCACTTTCAGTTTGTGAGTGTCTGTAGGTCTGAAGTGTGTCTCTTGTATGCAGCATATACATGGATCTTATTTTTTTAGTTGGCCACCCTATGGCATTTGAATGGAGCATTTTATCCATTGACATTTAAAGTAGCTATTGATAAATATGTATTTATTGCCATTTTGTCACTTTTTCCTTTTTTTGGGGGTGTTTTAGTAGCTCTTCTCAGTTCCTTTCTTTTTCTCTTACTCTCTTCCCTTGTGGTTTGATGGCTATCTTTAGTAATATGTTTGATTTCTTTTGTCTTACTTTTTTTTCCTGATTGTTATAGGTTTCTGGTTTGTGGTTACCATGAGGATCCTATTTAATATACTATGCATATAACAGTCTATATTGAGTAGATAGACTCTTTAGCTTGACCTCTTTCTAAAAGCTCTACTTTTTCACTCCCCTCCTCCCACATTATACGTTTTTCACATCATATATAGTCTTTTGTTTAGTGTGTGTCTATCCATTACCCTCTTATCATTGAAATAGGTAATTTTAGTACATTTGTCTTTTAACCTTCATATTACCTTCACAGGTAGTTGATCTGCTGCCTTTACTATACTTTTACCTTACAAGTGATTTTATTGCCTGTTTTTTCTTGTTGTTGTATTGGGTTTTTTTGATAATTTTTTTTCTTTTATCTCTATTTGTGGTCATTACTTTCCCACTTAAATGAGTCCCTTCAGCATTTCTTGTAGAACTGGTTTCTTAGTGATAAACTCCTTTAATTTTTGTTTGTCTGGGAAGCTCTTTATCTCTCCTTCCATTCTGAATGACAGCCTTGATGGATAGAGTATTCTTGGTTGTAGGTTTTTTCCTTTTAGCACTTCAAATATGTCGTGCCATTCTCTTCTCTCCTGTAGGGGCTCGGCTGAGAAGTCTGCTGACAGCCTGATGGACTTCCCTTTATATGTCACTTGCGGCCTTTCTCTTGCTGCTTTTGGGATTCTCTCTTTGTCTTTAATTTTAGACATTTTGATTATAATATGTCTTGGTGTGGGCCTCTTTGGGCTTCTCTTGTTTGGAGCTCTCTGTGCTTCCTGGACTTGGATGTCTGTTTCCTTCCTCAGGAGAGGAAAATTTTCCTCTATTATTTCCACAAATGAATTTTCTGCCCCTTTGTCTCTCTCTTCTCCTTCTGGGAGCCCTATAATCCGAATGTTAGCATGCTTGATATTGTCCCAGAGTTCCCTTACACTGTTCTCATTCTGTCTAATTCTTTTTTCTCTTTTCTGTTCTGCTTGGGTGATTTCCTCTAATCTTTCGTCTAGCTCACTGATCCGTTTTTCTGCTTCCTCTACTCTGCTATTGAGTCCCTCTAGTGAATTTCTCTTTCAGGTATTGTATTCTTCATTTCTGATTGGTTCTTTTTTATATCTTCCAGTTCTTTGCTGATATGCTCGCTGTGTTCAACCATTCTTCTCTGCATATCTGTGAGCATCCTCATTATATTTTGTTTGAATTCCTTGTCAAGGAGGTCGCTAGTTTCTGTTTCACTTAGTCCTTTTTCTGGGGTTTTGTCCTGTTCCCTTGCTTGGAAAGTATTCCTTTGCCTCCTCATTATGCCTCTTTCTCTGTGCTATTTTCTTTGTACTAGGTGAGTTGGCTATGTCTCCTGATCTTGGAGAAGTGGCCTTATTTATGAGATGCCTTATGAGGCCCAACAGTGTGCTTCCCTCTCATCACCAGACCATAAGAACCAGGAGTGACCCCTTTGTGAGTTACTTGTGTTCTTCTGCTGTGGCAGGGTTGCTCCCACTGCAGGTACCCAGGGAGTCTGATCTTTCCTTTCCTGGCCAGCTGTTTGTAAATCCGGTTTGGAGGGGCCTCAGCATTGTTGGCTACAAAGTCTATTAGCACACTCTTATTGCAAGTGTCCTCTTAATTGGGTTGGTACCCAGTGTAGCTGGTTGCTAGGCTCAGGGGCGTACAGTTGTGATAGGCCTGAGGCCAACAAGGCTGATGTCAGTTCTCTTAGGAGTGCAGTTGAGTGGGGCTAGCCCTTGGCATGGAGGTACTCAGTTGTTTCAGGCTCTGGAAGGTGGGCCTGATCCTTTTTATGGCTATTTGTGAAGCACAAGTCTTCTGCTGCTGATAAGCCTCACCCCCCTCTGGACCACATACACTGTCAACACAGTCCTGGTCTGTGCACACTTCTCAACCCCCTGGAGCGTACCCCACCGTCACACTGCAGAGGCCCCCACCTCTGCCCCAATGCCCCTCACAGTTCACCTGGTCCTCACACAAGCCCTGCCCCACAGAGGCAGACACCCTTGCCTGCCTGTAGAGGATCAAGGCACTCAGTCAATGCAGGCTGAAAAGTAGCCTGAGGGCTTGCTGTTAGGTGGGGCCAGTCCCTAGGGCGGGTTGCCTGCCCTGGCTGAACTGGGTTAAATCTGTGCTCTAGTGGGTGTGGCAGACCCCTGGGCTAACAGCCCAAGGGACGCACCTCAATGGTCCCCACCTATCAGCACGCCTGGACCAGCTCAGAACAATGGCCCCCACCAATGTCTCAGTCTCAGGAGAGGATCCTCCTCTCACCAAGATGCCCCCAGAGCCCACCAGGTGAGTCTTGTTTCACCAAAGGACAGTCAGCATTCTCTCTGGTGATTTTAGGTTGCTGCAATGAGTGAGTTTGTGTGTGGGCCCTTTAAGACCCGGATCTTTTCAGCTTTCAGCCAATAGCTTTTCTGGGGTGTCCTCGCTGCAGTTAATAGCCAGCAAAGCCAGATAGTAAGACCCCTGTCTCAGTTGGGCTTAGTCCGAAGGATGGTTATAGCAGTATTGCCCCCGCTCCGGACCTCACTCCTCCAGGGAGGGCTCGTACCTTAGAGTGGCTCCCGCCTGGCCAGATAAGAAGCTCCGCTGCTCCCAAAGGTGGCTTTTTTCCTCTCCAGCCGAAGTTACTGCCTCTTCTGCTTTCGTCAGGACTGTCCCTTGTCGTGGGGGTTCTTTTTATCCAGTTTTCAGTTTTCAATCCAGGGTGATTCTTCCCAAAATTGTTGTAAGCCGGTTGTGTTCGTGGGAGGAGGCGAGTTCAACGTCCGCTGACAGCGCCATCTTGACAAGCACCTCCCGTAAGTGCCTGATTTAATTGAACTAACCTCTTCCTTTAACTCAGGATGTAAGTAGGCTTGGGTATAATTGTCCTTGTCATAAAAAACAATGAATTAGACAAATGCCAACCTGGCAAAGTGAAAAGGCAAACAAAAACCAAACCCTGACTCATTTATCATCCTACGATTTGGCTGCGATCTTTGTTGTCAAGACTTCTTTCATCAGGCACCTGCTCATCATTTTCAGAGATTACAGATCCATGCTTCACTGCTTTCTACTCAAATTTGAAAAAGTTAAATGCAAATATCCTGCCACGATCATAGAGGAAAGTTGGTAAAACTCAAATTCCGAGGTAACTTGCATTTTAAGACCTACTCCCATTTTCCTCTTTTCTTATCCCATCCCCCTCACATTACTCCTTATGCAATAAATGAGGTCAGACAGATAAAAAACATGAAGAGGTACACCAGGTAGAAGGAGTGTAGATGAAGAAATAATCCTATTCTATTTATTAGCATGAAGTAGGTTTATATAAATCCACCACCAGCTTCCAGATAAGTCTTTCAGGTTTGGTATATAATAACTGCCTCAGGAAATACATAAGATGCGTTTAGTTTGCCTCAGTTTACATTAAGTTCTAGGCAAGATCAATTAAGTTTATCTAAATTTTTATGAAAAAAGACACGGTGGTAATCTCTGTAGATTAATGCTATTATAAATTAATTTCATCTCTATTTTTATATCTCTCACAAAGATGATAGTGTTCAAGCATGGGGTAAACCACAAAGCTTAACCTCAAACATCCAGGCAATGTGTAGTAATTTAAAAAAATTTAAGTTGAAATGAACAGTCTAGTTCTGCTAGAAAATATTTCTAGAAGTGACTCAGTGACAAAGATCAAACCTAGTACAAGCTTTTGAATGTCTAATTGAAGTAAAACAATTGTAGAAGTTATGTGAAAATTTTGTGTGGATTGGTTTATAAAGCATTTTAATTTCCTAGTTAAGAGGCAGTATACATTTGGAAAACCAGTGAAAAAGGGAGGAATTTGGCTGTATTTGCAAAGATTTATTTCTTTGGAAAAGGGGGGAAAAAACTAACCAAACCAAGTAAGGCCAGATTTTGACATCTATTTTATTTTGCTGGTGGCTACATAGGTATCTATTCTTATTTTTTTATTTGTTTAAAATATTTTGTAATAAAATTTGTAAGTGTGGGATTGTTGTCACCATCATTCCCCCCCCCCCCCCCCCAGCTTTTAGAGATGCAGACTGAAATACGTACGTTGGGATGGAAATGACATATCTGGAATTCTTTAAAATACTTTAGGATTAATAAGAAAATAAAAGAGTTAAAAAGATAAACAGGACAATCGTGGCACAATCTTGGCATATGTCAAATCCAGACGATACGTCTACACTCACACAAGTGGTCTACAATGAGGGACAATTCGTTATCTTAAAATGGTTGAGACAAGGAAGCTGAGATGAACACAAAAAGGAAGTAATCATAGATTAGTTAAGGAAATTAATATGTATTCTTTTGCACTGATTCTGAGCTTCTAAAAGTTTCAATTATCTTGCTTATATCAAATTTTCAAGAAGTTTGACTGGCTTATTGTTGATGAGCACAGAATAAGAGTAACAAGTTAGACTCCTGGGAACTTCCAGCTCTTTGCTTTGCCTATGGTTCTTTAACCATTGTTTAAGTCACCTCCCAACTCTGAGTCACCCACCTGCTCCCTCCAGATGAAGACTTTGACCGTGAGGGTCACCTTAGAGCCATGTTCTAGGGGGAAAAGAGGAAAGGCAGGAGTTAAGTGAGGAACATTCTGATAAGTGCATTTGAAATTGAAAGGATGTGGAACACGCTTAGCAGGATAGAGTCCTGAGACTGTGAACATTTACCACATCAACGTCTGTGACTAGTAAGTAGTTCAAATTTACTTATCAGAGCTCATCTAAATAAGCATTCTTTTTCAATTATGTGCTATTTCCCTGTTTCCTCCTGTAAACACACTTCACAGAAGAAGTCACTGTAATGTGAAGTTAGTTTAGTTCTTGGAATTTTTGTTAAGAAAATATTTGCACATAAAATGAAAAGACCCTGTTATTTGGAAATTAGCACACATCTTTTATCCTGCCCCAAAGGCAGGATAAATCCTTGATTGTGTTTCCTTACTTTTTTCTGTGTCCTGTGTATTTTGGACTTGACCGCCTTGCGTTGTATCCTGTGTTGGTGTTTCTGTTTTGGTTAACCAGACTGAGTTCAGGACTCCAGACTTTCAGCGCCCATCCCAACGCACGTTAAATCAATCATGGAGGCACAGGGTGGAAGTGAAAGCATTTCTGCCCAAAAGGCCCTGCTAAAGCTGTTAGATTCAATTAGGCACACGTTCTGTCTTCAGGATTAGAGTTTTATACTCCAAGCCAAAGCTCAATAGCTCTACCCACACATGCCTCTTGCCACTGAGGCTATGTGCCCCCGCCATGCTGTCCAGTCCTGAAAAGACACAGTGTTTCACAGCCCTCCTTCTGAGAAGTTGATGACATTCACAAGTTGGATTTGGAAGAATTCTGAAGTCTTCTTTCTTGAGGGGAAGTGGGAGAGGGCATTTTTTGTTTGTTACTACAGGAGAGATTTGGGTTTTGGATTTCATTTTCATACCAGGGTTGAGTTGCTGAGCCGGAGATCGAATTAAAACTGGCACGTCTCTGTGGCTTCATTTGCTTTTCTTCCCGCCATGGGGCAAGCTGGCACCAAAGCCTTGGTTTGAAACCCTGAAATTCAAGCCTTAGACAGTGCCAATAGTGTGAGTTGAATTGCTTGGTTTGAATTTCCATAGGATTGTGAGGACCCAAACGGAAAGGTTGAAGGGGAGTTTGTCTCAGCAGCCAGCAGAATATCTTCTTCAGGTGGGCTTGGTAAGGAATTCAGGCACTGTCTCACAAAATGTGTAAAAGTTAAACTGGACCAGCCCTTCCTCTACTGTGTATGGGAGAAAGGAATTGGCGTGTAAAGGCCGAAAAGAGAAAGCATGGATTGTCGTGTTTTGAAGGAGAGTTTGCACGTATTTTGTAGAAGGGATAGAGGAAATTGGGGCAGCTGAATCTGTTCAATGTGGAACGTTGGGAGAAAAATGGATGAAGAAGATTTTTAGAGACATTTTTGCTGTATATTGTGAGTGGAATTCTCTTTGGAAACACTTTGAGAAACTTAAGTAAAGATTTAGATTTCTTTTCAGTGACTCCCCACCTTTTCTTTTTTTGAAGGTTGGATTTTAAAAATGGAGGGCTCAAGTGCTTACAGAGATTCAAACGTGCCGTCCATTTGGACTTATTCTCATGGTAAGTTGCATAGTTCACCTAATATCCTAGCTTTATATTCAGGGAGAGTTTTAAACCTCTGTTTTCAGTAGTTTTTCTTCAATATTACATTTTGAATTGGGAAATATCTTGAATCCAAGTCAACACAACAGGAGATTTAATTCTCTCTCTTCATTAGTTTTTATCCAATATTAGATTTTATAATTGAAAATATTTCCAATTTCAGGCAGCGTAATATGTTATTGATTAGTAGAGAGTCCAGAACGTGTGATGCTCTTTGTAACTGCAGGCTGGTGGATGACTTCTACGCAAAATGATGACCAGGTAAGACAGCATGTGAAGACACTCGCAACCATGGGACACCTTGGACTCATTCTCGTTTTCCCCTCAGCAGTACTACATTTTAGTAATATCTTAAAAATAGTCACAGACTATGAAATGTGAAAGAGAGAAATACAGAGAGGAGAACACTGCTGCATCTGTCATGTGGAAATGATAATCAGCTAGATTGTTCAAAATGCTTTGAGTCCAGTTCGACGGCAAGAACGAAATGGGAATGCTGTTGACGCACTTCTACAGATTCCTTTCCAGGTAAATTGCCTCTGGATTCGATATTTACAGTTTGGTCCAGGTATGAATTTGAGAGGAGGAAAATGGATTTTGATATTTTCTATGGATTAATGTGGTTTTTTTTGGCCTTGGACAGAATTATATAGCCTATACAGAAGCACAGATGTTGGAACTTAGAAGTGTGATAAAGGCTTGTGTTTTTCTTCAAAAAAATAAAACTCTGTTTACCTACTGGACAGTAGTCAGCTTGAAAAGCTTTTCATGAATGGCGGTCTCGGTGTGAAATGTGAAGCTTGGTTTAATGCCCCTTGGCCTTCACATCCTTTATTGTCATCTCCTATGAGGTAGATTTGAAGACACACAGGCCAAGAGGGATTACTGATAGGACTGTGAGCCTTGGACCAGTGACACCTCACATGGCTTAACAAGAAGTGGTGCTAGAGAGGTGCGAGACCTCTCACATTAGGGAAGCTAAAGACACATACCATATTGTGCCAGCTTTGAGAATTGCCAGTGTTTGTAATCCCACATCTGTACCTAATTTCATTAAACGTCCCTGGTTATTCAAGTCTCACTCAGTGCACACTCTAGTTCTACTTCCATGCAAAGCTCAGAGTTGTTGGTTTGTTTCAGCCTGGCTGTTTAGCTAGTAGCTTTTGGAAGAAAAGAGCTTAACCAAGCATTGGAGAATGTTATTCTTTGATTTGGGAAAAAGTTAGACATCACTTTAAGTATGATTAAAATATGTTTTTAATCAATACATTATAAAAATTGTGATGTTTACAGTGGAATGAAGGAAGAAAGTTTCTGTTTATTGAGGCATTGATGAGGTCTTGCTTTCCACATCAGTCCTCAGAGAGGAAGTGGGAAAGGAGTGAAGGTCACATTCGTCACTCTTCGAGCAGGTCTCAGCGTAGGCCCGGTTTAGTTTCTGCACTTGGTAGATAATATCACAGCTAAATTAATCAACTTCTAGGTGAATTCAGACTTTAATGAATTTCAGAATCAAAAGGTTTCTGAGAAGTATTAAGATTGAAAACAAAAACCGTCCTACTGAACTGAAGAAAACAAAGCCGGTGAATCCCAACTTGCGGGAATCAAAGAGACCTTCCAGCTCCAGGCAGGCCTCATCCCAACTCCAGAGAAGACCACACTTCAGCTCTTGTCTGTAGGTGAGTATCTGTCCAACTCTAAAATTCTCCTGTTTTTAGAGGAAAGAATTTTATTTTGTTCTTCAATCAATAAAAATTCTGAGGGTTTTCCCTTTGAAAACCTGAATGCCTTGTACGTTAGCAGAGCTCACACTTAGGTGGTCATCCATCCTGGTAGGATGCTGAGACAGAACACAAAGGAGAACACAGAATCTCCTGACATCATTATAAATGTGCCGACAACATCGAATCAAGGGGAACATTTTTCAGCTTTTGAACTCCTTTTTCCTCCCAAGTGATGTTTTATTTTGCTTGAAAGGGTGTCAGAAATACAAGAACCAACCCACTGATTAGTCTCTGCCTGTGCGATTGAGGATGAAACACTCTGAGTTGAGGATCAAACAAGCCGTGAGGTGAAAAAGTGCTTGAGGGTCCCAGAGTTGTATCCAAATGTGAGAGATGGCTTCCACGGCTGTCACCCCAACGAGCTGTGTTGTGTCAGGCCAGTCTTTACACCACACAAGGTCTCAGTGGCCTCATAAGGAAATGAGGAGATTGGATTAAGTGATGTTTAAGACTGCTTCTGGTTCTCACATTCTATGATTTTAAGATGTTTGCTTTTCAGTTAATTCAAGTCTGTTCTGAAAAATAAGATGATGATCCCAAAGGTAGATATCCCTGAAATTGTGTCTCCAAGTCATGGGTGTGGGAATATTTTTTTTATTAGGTATTTATTTCTTTTTAAAAATAATTCCTGTTCTCTTATAACCTGGGCCATTTAGGGTAGACTTCTGACGTCTTGTACACCTTCTGACTTCAAAAGAGGGCCAAACTTTTCTGGATAAGAAGTCCTAATTACACACCAAACATAATCAGAAGGATCTGGCAGAATATGTTGCCCACAGTGTCCAGAAATTTCACATTCTGTGCTGGTTTGGGACGTTGGTTTTTGTTAAATATTTTCCAACATCTCATTGCTCTTAATTGAACCCTGAAGGCTTTTCTTGGCAATTGATTTCAGCCTTCGCTGAGTCTGAGAAGGCCCCTGAATGTGGGCAGAAGCAGCGCGCTGTTAGGGTCCTTGATTCCCCTCTCAAGGCTCTGCTTAGGCAATCAGAGGCCATCTCCTGCTGCTTGATTGATGCCTAGACAGGATTTCCCAAGACAGAGATTGCCCATGCATAGGGTTTAAAACAAACCCCACGACAGCTGCCAAGGAATATGGTTTCGAGACCGGAGGTTATATATTCACATCTCCCTCCTCCTCTTGGAGTCACTTCTGCTCTCCAGAGAGTGAAAGGAGTTGGCTAACAAAGTTGAGCAAGTTAGTGATTGATGGTATTTTCCCTTTATTGAAATTCGTTGGTATTTCTTAAGATCTGCAAGTCGGTGGTCTGAACATTCTTCAAAGGTCTGAATAGTGACAAAGTATAGCTTCTGTCGTCTTTGTGCTTTTCTCTCATGAGGCCAGAAGTAGCTTTCTAAAAATGAAAACACATTTACAGGAAAATGAACAAGTGTTACTTTGTATATTTGCTGACATAAAGACAAGGTGCGGTGCTAATGAACTCGGATTGTGTTACAGACTGAAAACCAAGACACAGGCTGGGTCATAGTGAAGGGAGAAGGGACCTTAGCACTCTCCACTGTCATGAAGGATGTGTGACGTCTGGTAAAATGGTTTCAGATTCCATCAGGAGGAACCTTATGACTCACAAGGATACGGTGTTGCAGGACGAAAGGAGAGGATTGGAGGTGATCTCTGGGTTCTCTGTCTCAATTAGGTTGGTCTGCGTCCCACCAGGTGACATGACTGTGTGCACAGGATCAGTTTACTAGGCAAGGCTTCCAGCACGTGCAGCCCATGGGCACCAGGGCCAAGGCCTGCTTGCTGTCTGTTACCCAGGGCTGGCTGCTATGGAAAGTGGTTTGAACATTTGGAGGAAAAAAATTCCTGAATAGACATAGGTGGTCAAAAAATTTATTTATTTTTAATATTTATAAGAATAACACATTCATAGAAAATCAGAAATTAGAAGAACAGAAAAAAATCATGCATATTTCTACCACTTGTGACAACCAATAGCAACAGTTTGTGTATTTCTAGTCTTTTTTCCTATGCATTTTCAGTCATGATTATGATGATAGTGAATATAAAATTTACATTTGCCTTTTCTCATTTAACATAGGCATTATACAAAAATATACTTTAATTTTCCTAATAATCTTCAAATAAGGTTTTAATCTTTAAGAAAGACCAGCATTTCCTGCTCTGAAAAAATTTCTGTTTTTAAGTAGGTCCCGTTTTCATATGCTTGACTTGGGATTCTTCGATTTTACCTCCAAGAAATTGACCATCTCAGTATATTCTCTAGAAACTGAGGACGGTACTTATCAATATTGCTTTTGTCCACCTCTTATGGACAAGAGCTTGCAAGATTTGTATGTTTCCCTCTTGTGCCTTTCTCCAGGGTTCTTCTTATCCTTGGCTTCTGCACATCTCCCTCATGCCCTGTTAAGGGACAGACAGAAAGACAGGATGGCGGCTGTGCCAGAACATGCTGATCTTTAGGGCAAAACATTGCTCAGCCCATATTCTTTTCCTGCTGTGTCAAATGGGCTGAGGGGGAATCCTAAAAATGATCCAAGGAGTTTCCATGGCTATGGAGCCTGCAGACCCAATTTCAAGATAAGAATTAATTCATGCTAAACAGGCATAATGCCCTGGGCTTAAGGTTTTTCTTTTTCTAAAGAATTGGACTAGGTCATTGGTTCCTAACTTAGAGACCCTCGACTCCCTTCCTCCAAGATATTTGTGAAGACTAAGGAGGGTATGCTACTGACAGTATGTTATTAAAAAAATCAGAAATAATATAGTCACCAAAGCCTAACTAAAAACTCAAGTTTCTTTGTTTTTTTGTTGGTTATCAACAGTTGTGTTAGCAGTGGTTCCGAATCAGCAGTTCTGACTAGAAGTTTTGATTTATATGCTAACCGTGCAAAAATAATGATTAAAGCCTGAAGTTTGTCTCATGGATTCAACTACCACCTCTGCTCTCAGGACCACAAACCCTGTATTTTTAGGGTTCATCTCTGTCTCAGCTCCAGAATCAAATATCCAACTATGTGACGAACGTTGACTGCCAGAGACCTCACTGTTGCTGCGGGTGAGCTCACCCCTCTCCCCGCCCTCCCAACTCTTCTGCCCTCTCTGCGTTCATCCCCAGCACCTCTTCGCATTTCCTAAGCGAGGGGTTACAGAATCATTCCCGGTTTCTTCATCTCTCTCTTTCTCCAATTGCAGCCATTTAATTCTGTCATTTTGTTTCATTCCAGAAATACGGCTCGTCTGTGTCTTTCCCTCTCCATGTCTATGGCCACACCCTTGGTCTAGGTACTGAACTCATGGTTGGTAGTATCATAAAAATGTCCTGAATTGGCTCTTTGACTCTTTCCTCTCCTCTGTAAAGTACACTCAACCCACAGCCACCACAGATCTGACGGTGGTGTTTCTGTTTTTAAAATCTGTTCCGTATTATCCAGAGAGCAAGTCCAAACTCCTTAGCAAGCACACAGGCTTTTAATTCATGGCTTTGGTCTAACAACCACCTCATTTCCTGCTATTTCTGATCCCACCTTGGATTCTAACCTCTCACTGAAACACCCACACACACTCTCATGTCTCTGTCAGTGTCCTCAGCCGGCACTGCTCCTCCCTCCTTAATCTGTCTGGTTACCTTCTACTCATTTTTTTAAAGCCCAGCTCATTGCCACCTATCTTTAGTTTTTCTTTCATGTATATTAGTCATTCTTTTTCATTGTATCCTTGCTGTGCCATTTTTCATCATGTATTCATCCACGTAATCATCCATTTGTCCAGACACTCATCTACCTATTCATCCTTCCGAATATTTATTGAGTGTCTACTATGTATTCTAGTAGCTGATGATACAGCAGAGAATAAGACATCTTCACCCTCATGAGTTTATTATACATTCTAGTATGAAATAATAAACAAATAAATAAATGTTGAAATAATATGATTCAGGTAGTGATAGTGCCAGAAATATAAATAAAGCAGTTGAAGAGGCTAGGAGTTCAGGGAGCTTGGGGAGGGTGGCCACATTAAGTGAAAAGATCAGGGAAGGTCTTTCTAAGGAGGTGATGGTTGAGTAGGGCTCTGAATTAAGTACGGGAATTATGCTGATAAATTTCTAGTGGATTGGATGTAGGGCATGAGATAAAGATGAATCAAGAAGAAAATCCAAGTTTGAGACACGAGCATTTGCATGAACAGTGGCACCAAGTACTGGGATGAAGAGGATTCAAAGGGCAGGAGGTAGGGAGGGGACAATACGTTCATTATACACGTATTTATGTTTCTTGTTAGTTTGTGAGTTCCTTGAGGACTGGTGTCATGTTTTCTTTGTCTTTGGACTAAATAAAATAGGCAAATATTTAAAACAGGAAGGACTATTGGGGAGAGAGGGCGCTCATAAAAAGGCCACTGGGTGGCCGAAATGTTAGGGACCACTTAATTATGTTATTTCTACAGTCATTTCCAGCTCTATAATTGCATGCATCTAACTCTTAAAATTTGACAATGGGTAATTGTTTAGTAGTTGAAAATAAAATGCTTATTACCAACAGGTATTCAGAATAATATTCCCCCTATACAAAAATATTACCTGTTCTCTAGAAGCTTTCAACTTAAAATAGCATCTTCAATATGATGCAGAAAAAACAACATAATAGCAAAAAAAAAAAAAAAATTTTAGCTGAAGTATAGTTAATAATAGAGAACTCCTGAAGTGAAACTTTAGGCTCAATGGCATCTTTTTCGTGAAGTCTTTTTGATTGCTCGCATGGTCCTTCTCTTTTCCAAACATCCATCACATTACAGATCACTTCCCACGTACTAAGGAGGCAGTGCTGCAGTGCCAAGGTGGCAGCTGTAGTAAGAGCAGAGGGGATGGGAAGCTAGGCCATAGCCACACTTCTGCCACTTATTAGATTGGAAA